CTGATAAATCTTTGGTTAGCAAATCTGGGAGTACCTGGCAATGTGCCGGGAACATTCAAAACCACACAATCATCCCAGAGAAGTGATTTATCCAAGTATAGAGGATAAGATATTATTTTTATACTAAAATACATGTGGTTGTTTTATGGAAGATGAAGCAAAATCCATATTTTAAAAAATTACTATAAAACATGGCATTCCAGAGAAACATCCAGCTTCACCACAGAGGCCACAGCACGAGGCTCCAGGTGCCACTCCCTCTTCGAGGGAGTCTGGGAAGCCCAGACTCCCAGGCAGGTGCGTTCGTTCATACAGGAGCCAGCCTGTCCCACAGGAAGCTGTGAGTCCTTGGGACCCAGGGCCTGGAAGGGGCCCCTGTGTGCAGCAGACTTGAGCAAAAGAAAAAATGGGAGGGTTCCAGAATGGCGGGCACGGGTTTGGTGGCTGGAGAAGTTGTGGTGGATGCGCTGCCGTATTTTGATCAAGGTTATGAAGCTCCTGGTGTGCGGGAAGCGGCTGCAGCACTGGTGGAGGAGGAAACACGCAGATACCGACCTACTAAGAACTACCTGAGCTACCTGACAGCCCCGGATTATTCTGCCTTTGAAACTGACATAATGAGAAATGAATTTGAAAGACTGGCTGCTCGACAACCAATTGAATTGCTCAGTATGAAACGATATGAGCTTCCAGCCCCTTCCTCTGGTCAAAAAAATGACATTACTGCATGGCAAGAATGTGTAAACAATTCTATGGCCCAGTTAGAGCATCAAGCGGTTAGAATTGAGAATCTGGAACTAATGTCACAGCATGGATGTAATGCCTGGAAAGTATATAATGAAAATCTAGTTCATATGATTGAACACGCACAGAAAGAACTTCAGAAGTTAAGAAAACATATTCAGGATTTAAACTGGCAGAGAAAGAACATGCAACTCACAGCTGGATCTAAATTGAGAGAAATGGAGTCAAATTGGGTATCCCTGGTCAGTAAGAATTACGAGATTGAACGGACAATTGTTCAGCTAGAAAATGAAATCTATCAAATTAAGCAGCAACATGGAGAGGCAAACAAAGAAAACATCTGGCAAGATTTCTGAGAAGACAGTTTAGCAGGTAGAAGAAAAGTTGGGCTTTCACAAAAAGCATCTGAGCTTTTAATTAACTGTGAAGGACAACAGGATCTTCCCCCAAAACCATTGTTGTTTAAATGTTTAGAAATCATAGAATGTGTGGGCTGCTGTATATCTCAACAGAATTTAAATGTCTAGCTTGTTGGTATTTTTTTAGCCATTAAAAAAATAATCTTTAGGCTTTCAAAATAAGTATGACTTTAGAATAATTCTATGTCATAGAATTAAGTCTGAGCCATGGGGGCCATATTTTTATCAAAAGATGTTTGTTTAAAGCTTTGACATGTACAGGAAGCTGGGAACTTTTGGTTTATGACTTTGTCTAATAAAGAGATAGTTCTAAACACATTATTGATTACCAAACAGGACTTCAGAAATAGAGTGACTGTACAGTCATCGTGGGTAACAGTTATTTCAAGCAGTGTGTGCTGAACACTGTTCTGAACACTTCAGGTAGATGAACTAGATGCATGTGAATAAAATCACTTGGTTCTCACAAAAGAAAAAATGACAGGAGTGGGTCCTTAGGGTGGGGGTGGGCAGGGCTTAGAAAAGCAGAGGGACCCTCCCAACAGAGGGGCTTCATCCCTTAGAGAACCCTTTACTGGAATGGTACCCCAAAACCCCCAGAAGCAGCTTCAGGGACCTTGCTCTGGGGCACGTATATAGTGGAAGCCTCCATAGAATAAAAGCTTTGCATATGTAGAAGTTCCTCAAGTTATTTCCTGTGCCAGCAAAAAACCTCCAGAAAACTCCACAATGTCCACAAGCAGGGGCCTGCTGATGCCACTTCCGGCACATAGAGTTGAGAAACCAGCAGAGGAAGGAGGGGGAAGTGCAGCTATTGATCTGGAAGGTCCTAGAACACGTAAACTGAAAAAAAGCGAATTCCAGAATGGCTCATAAGACAATCTCGCTTTGGTAGTGAGATGTGAATATTCAAAGATGCATTCAAAATTCACGGGGACAGGACTCTTAGCTGTGTTTGCAGTTTTTCTGTACTAATTGTGTATTATTTGACACAATGAAAAATGTTACTGGCAGAGGGTTTCCAGCGTAAGGCAGAACTATTAGGATAGAATGTCATTTTCTCAGCACCGTGACATCTCTAACATAGAAAGTTAAAGACAAAACGGGGCGACATGGGGCGACAATCGAAACAGACTGACAGACTACAGAGTGAAGATGCTGGGTCTGAAAGGGCACGAGCCCTGTGCCTGTAGTTTTATGGATGGCGCTGGGACGGGGGTGAGACGAGAGCCCCAGCAGCTGGGGAGAGCGAGGTGAGGACAGGCCGAGGTGAGGGTTTCTCTATCTTTAAGCGCTCTCTAATGGTGTAATAACTCTCTCTTGTCCCTAATCAAAAACAGGTTCAAAAGACAAAGAAAAGCGAGGCTGGCCTGGGCTCCGGCTTTGTGTTGGCGACTCCCACCCTCTCAGCAGCCCTGCAGTGGAGCAGCAGCGCCTCGTCGCGGCCACGGCGGGGAAGGACCAAGGCTGGCTGCCTGGAAATGGTGGCTGCTCTGGGAGAGCCCAGAGCTAGGCCCAGACATGGGCAGGGCACAGCTGGGACTGCTGCATCTGCAGAGAAAGCAGGGGCACAGGATGGGGACGGGTGCACAAACAGCCTCCCGAGTACAGAACGTCCCCCACCAAAGGGCAGGTGGGTGGCACCACACAAAATCAACAAGCCCACCTGGGTGTCTGTGAAAGGCCGAGGTGGAAACCCAACTTCAAGGCACAGCTCTGCCACACCCAGTGCTCTGGCCAAGATTCTGCTCAACTCCTTCCTCGATTTTGCCATCTGTGAAAGGGGGTTAATCCTAGGGCTTTGCCCACCTCCCAGACTGAGGAAGACTGGACTGGAGATGGGTGGAGTCCTGGCTCTGCCACCTGCAGGCTACAGGAATGCGGAGGAACCACCTGACTCTGAAGTTTCCCACCACACAGAAGAGGCTGATGCTAGTGCAGGCCCCCAGGGCTCCGTCTCTTGACCTGTGCCCACAGCAGATCCTGAAAGCAGTTTGAAGAGTCATGACCTTTCCAAACGTTAAAATAGAATAGAAAATATCTGAGTACAACATACTTAGTAAGGTTTTGTATGAGTTCCAGGAACTTCTGCTTCAGTTTTATGTGAGGCTTATATATGTGTGTCCTGGGTCATGGAGAACCATATAGTTTTTCACTGTGGGTCATAGCAAGTATTTTCAGAAATGCTGTCTTACAGATACAATGAGATCTAGCAAGTAAATGCTAACTTAGTTCCTAGAATTTCATAAACTCTCAAAAAATGCGACTTATTATTCCTGCCAGAGGTGGTAACGCCCACTCATCAGCATCTTGTCACATGGGTATGTAAAAGAAAGCCCAGCAGTAGAGGGTCTTAAGCCAGTGGGATTACTCTTAGGTGCTAAGCTTTCCCAGGATTCAGGGGCGAGGACCCTAGAGTACAGAGCTGGGGAGGGGGCTGGGACCCCCTTCCAAGGGGTCCCAGGACAGCTGACCCCATCCCCTGACAATCTGCTAATGAAGTAAGTAGGAAGTTCAAGGCCACACTCGCCAAGCCCGAAGAGCATTTTCCTACCCAAAAAAGGAGCCGCTCTGCTAAGTGTGTTCTTCAGCTAGAGGCTGGCACAGACCACCAAAGTCCATCTCGGTTTGGCACTTCATGTGGTTACTCAGAACAACAGAGAATGTAGTTCAAACAAAGCCTCGCTCTTACCAAAATAAAGCCCAAGAAAGGCCTTCAGGCTTGGGCCAGGCTGATAAGGAGTGACTATTACAGGCTTGTCCCCGCATCACCCACCACTCTGGCTGCCTCTTCCTCAGGGTCGCTGACCCCACTCCAGGACAAGGCCAGCCATGGAGGGCCAAGAGGGGCCACTGCAGGGTACTTGATGTGCCCAAGTGCCACGGGACCCTGGCTCCCAGGCCTGTTTCTGCTGCAGCTCCCCCGGCGCCCCACACCCTTTCCCAGTGTGAATCCTCACTCCTGGACGCTGGTCTCATGCCCACCCTGCAGCCCATCCTCCCATAACCCTCCCCAAGAGTAAGGCCTTTCCAGAGCAGGCTGTGATCTTAGGACAGAATTCTGCATGCTGAGTAAGCTGAACTTATGTCTGCCTAATTTCTAATGGGCTCTAATTCCTTTCTGGGGCAGAGAAGACTCACTCATCTAGCGCCCGAGGACTTTGGTAACAACGAAGAGGCACTCGTTGTGGTAGACAGCGGGGAGGACAGCACCGTGGCCTGGTCTGATTCCACTGAAAGACAAGGCCGTGATGATAGCTGACTGCTAAATTTACATAACTCAGGTCATCTTCACGGGAGCGCTAAGAGGTTGGTACCACCATAAGTCCATTTTCACCATGGAAAACCAAAGAAAAGAAGTAAATGGCCAGAAGTGTATGGCTGGTGAACAGCCCTATCTGAAAGGCAGGGCCACGGTGAATGCTCCTGCTGTGCAGATGACGCAGGCTCAGACAGCCACAGCCGCCTCTGAGAGTCCTGCAGCTGGAAGGAGCACCCAGGCCTCCTGCACTAGCCGTACAGGTCAGCAGCCTGCACTACTGAGCTGTCACGGGGGCCTCTGCCAAGCCTCAGTGCAAAGCCACAGGCAGGGGATACCCTGTGACTCTGGAAGGGGGGCAATACCTAAGCACAGCCCCAGAGATATGGACACCACCAAGGACACACAGAGAGCTAGTTCCACCAAGCACACCAGGCCAGGGAGGGCTTCGTGGCCCAGACCCCTGCAAGGGGGGCGACCTAGGATGCTCAGGGCTTTTCTGATTCCAGGAAAGGGAGCTGTCATCTCCAAAAGCCTGGAATACACCAAAGGGGCCCTTTAGACAACAGGAGACCAACCGCATAATGCCCAGAGGGTCCAGCGCCTCCTCCTCTTCCAAGGACTCCTCAGCATCCTCGTCCTTCAGGCCCTGGATGGGCAGACCCTCATCCGCCACTTGGTCTCGCTGCTCAAAAAAGTCAAAAGCCTCTTCATCATTCTCTGTCTGGCTGTCTGTGCCATCCAGAACAGAGGAATCTCTGCTGGTGAGCCCGGCAGCCCCTGGGGATCTGGTCCCTGTGGAGGAAGACAGAAAAGAAGGGACTTGGTAACCACTCAAGTGGTGGGGGAAGCATCTTGCCACCCTGCACCCTCCCATGCCAGGATCAGAGGCTGGGGGCTCCCTGCAGCCTCCTGGGACCAAACTTGGCCCCAAGCAGGATGGCAAGTCTGGGTGGATGGGAGGTAACCTCTGTTTTGGGGGCAGCCAAGTGCCTGCTGCAGCCCCACTAAGGGCTGACGGGTACCAGGGAAGCCTGAAGTGGAGGGGTCACAAGTGGGGGCTTCAGAGTGGACAGAGGCAGCAGTTCCTGAACCCCAGGCCCAGAGCCTGTGTGCGCCGCAGGGATGGCTGCACCCTCCTCCTGGGTGGGCAGTGGGATAAACCAGCCAGGGCACAGGGTGATTAAAAAAGAACCAGTGCTGCCAGGACCATTTATGGTCAAGGGCACGGCAAGGAGCTCTGCAGACAGAGACCTGCTCTGAGAGTCTGGGCACCTGGACTATGGACTGGATGGGTGCCCAGGGTAAGCATGTGGAAGATTCCAGAACAAACGGTGATCACTCCACTACAAACTGGCTTAGATCAACGCTTCTCAAAGTGTGGTCTGCAGATAGAGAATGCCCCTTGTGTGACCACAATGAGGTAAGTACAGAAAGGGAGAGCAAGCATCCAGAAACTTCCACAGCAGGCTGGCATCATCACAATATCTGAGCATGCGATTTTGTATTTGTGAAAGTATCCATCTGTGACAGGCTGGGAATAAAAGAGCTAGCCCTCCCCCACATATAGTTTGAGAAGTGTGGGCTCACACTATTTGTTCATTTCCATCCAAGTGGTTACTGGGTAGTTTATCTTTAAAACCACTGACTTTTTAAAAAAAAAAAAACAACTTTGTAAAGAACTTAGAGAGTGTCTGGCATACAGGATACACTGAGTGATAATGATGGCATTGTATCATGTGATGCTCTGTTATTTTACTCGGACAAATGTGAAAAGCCATTCAAAATCTCCCAAACCTTCAATTTAATGTCATAAGCATCTTACATTTAAATATTGCAAAAGCCCTATGAGAGAGATCCCAACTGCACATCCATCTTGCAAATGAGCAAAGTGAGGCAAAGAGCAGCTTGCATTTCTATGTTGCCTCTCCACAAGAGAGGGGCTGGGACATCCTCAGCGTCTCTTCCAGCTGTGGCTGAGCTGGAACATCCAGGCACAGTCTACCCAGCCCCAGAGACAGGCACAGAAGGAAGGGTTGTGACCTTGGAAGAAACAAGGGCAGAAGAGAACCCAGACCCGTGTGAGGGGCACAGATGTGGCCACAGGACGCCTGGGCTGTGCAGCTTGTCCAGTCCGAGACCTGTGCATTCACCAGTTTTGCTTCTCTTCCCCACCTTTCAGTTTTTAAAATTTGTTTTATTTATGGTCAACTTTCTTTGAAAACTTCCTTTCTGTTTTGTGGAACTAGGAGATCCATGGTAGCTGGGAAAGAGTTAAAAGCAGACGGATGTAAAGAGGGGAGAAGTCAGGGGTGAGAGGCCTTGGGGGCGTCTGTGTGAGAGCAGAGCCTGCCCCACGGGGCTTCTGGGTTGACAGAGCTGTAGCCACCATTTATGGTGTGGTTGTCTCTTTCCTAAGTACTTTGCAGTGTGTTAGCTCATTAAACTCTCATAGCGGCCTTTACAGATGAGAAAACTGAGGCAGGAAGAGGGCCGGGACACCCATGGGAAGGGCTTGCAGTCTCCACCATGGAAGGCAGTGGTGCTGAATCAACTCCTCAGCCTGGAGCCGTCCCCATGACCCTCTCTGTGGGGGCACAGGTAAGAGGCACATGTCCCCTGGGGTAGGAAAGCAGCCTGGCTGTGAGAACACAGCTTTCTCGGGACACTGCAGGCCCCCAGGGCTGGCTGGTAGGAGGTGGAAGGGTGTGTGCGGTGTGTGTCAGGGGTTGTATGTGTGTTTGGGGGGCATGTCAAGGAAGCTCTAGGAATGGAGTTGGCCAAGAAGGCCATGGATGAGGTCACACGATAGAGAATGCCCGCTGTGTGAGCCCCCATGTCAGTCCCTCAAGGGCAAGTCTCCTTTTGCCCACCATCCAGCCAAGGATGTCAGTGAGGCCACCTGCCTCAGAAGCCTGGCTGAAGCTTCCAGGCTGCGGAGACATTATGCACAGGCTCCCACAGGGCCAGGGCAGCGAGGCCTAGTTCTGGGCCAGGGAGACCTGAGGGACGTAGGGCAGAGCCTCGGGTACCTAAGAACTCTAGCAGCTCTGGGCTGCCTGCCAACTCAGCATCCTTGGAGACACAACGCAGGATCTCATTGAACACGGCTCTCCTCTCCCGGATGTCAGACTCCCCAACAAACAGGACCTTCCTGGGGAGCGGCGGGAGGCTGGCTGCTGCGTAATGACTGCTCAGTTTCTGGTAAAACTCCTCAATCTCGCTGTACTTTTTGGAGACCTGGAATGAGACGAGCATGTGGCTTCCTGAGTGAAGAGTGGCAGAGAGTGCTCCTTTCTCACCCTGACCATGGGTCCCCGAGGCCCGGTGGCCATAGGAAGTGTGTCAGGCAAGCCCGTTTGCTGCCCCTCTGCCTGTCCCCAGCCTCAGGCTCCTGGCCGATAGGAGATTCACGAAAAACGGCTAGTGGCCCAAAGGAACGATGCAGTACGGTGCCATTCTGGGCACTGTCACAGGTCCAGTAAAAAGATTCGAGACAGGCACCCCTGCCCAGCCTGCAGCCGACCATGGCCACTGCCTTCATTCTGGCTTTCTGCATATCAGGAGGGTGATCTCACCAGCTGGCAGGTCATCTTCCTGCAACATCGTGAATCACCTGTTCTCAGCACCTACCTCATTCTCCCGTGAACCAGTGCAGCCTTCGGCGGGCCAGCCCATACAAGCAGATATTTCTAAGGCTGGCTCTCTGCCGTGCGTCAGCCAGGACCTCTCTGCACACAAGCACGGGGTGAAGCAGGCCAAGACTCCTGCTGTCGTCAGAAGGTGGCCTTGAGCACCATCTGACTCAGAGAGGGCAGCACTCAGCTTCCCCTGGGGCCAGCGGCTCACTCCTGCCTCCTCAGCCTCTCCCCATAGCTCGTAGGCAGCGAAGGCTTCCCTCCTTCACTCACAGAGCTCTTGCTGCGTGTTTACTCTGTATAGGGACAGCCCATATGGGTGCGCAGAGAAGTCACCGGCTGTATGCACACACCAACGGCCAGCCATCTACCCTCACTCTTAGCTCCTCTGTGCTTTCCCATAGACTGGGCCTGTCTCCCCCGACTGAAGTGTGGGTCACTCACTCTTATGCTCCCAGGCCCGAGCTGTGCCCGCCATATGCCACTGGAGTGCTGGTGTGCAGCAGCTGCGGGCGTCTGATGCCCTCTGGCTCAGGGAGACCCCTTGGCACAGGGTGCATCTGGAGCACACACCCTTGGCTCCAGCAACACCACCCAGAATCCCCCGCCTGCAAAGGGTCTAGATACCAGGGGGCAGCTGGGACCACTTCAGAACCCCCCAGTGGGGTGTCTTCTGGGACAAGGAGCTGCTGCTTGCAGTTGTCAGCACAAAAGCCTGGCTCCAGACTTTCCCAAGAACAGCCCTCAGGGAAAGGCAACGAATACCCTCATAGAGGGATTGCTAACCCAGGCTCCGACACAGGCAGAGCAGGCCACGGTGGGAGCCTGGCGCCCTCTGCTGGCCCAACTGCTTCACTCAGGCTCAGCGCACAGACCCAGCAAACCTGGAAGCCTCCATCTCCAGGACACTGGCAGCATGAGTACCCTGGAGCTGTAGCCCTGGGTTCCCACCCCACTCAGAGCTCACGTCCATCAGGGGTTCAGCCAGGGCTTCTCGGGTGGGCACCTGTGCCAGCAATAAGAGGAGGTCAAGTAAGAGGCCCTGAGCAGAGGAAGCTCGAGGTTGAGAACTCACATTTATCAGTGCCCTGTGTGCCAGGCACTGCTGAGCACAGGGCAGACAGCCCTGTAACGTAAGCCTGTGGGCGTCTGCACCACTAGCACAGCCAGGATCCCACACAACCTCCACTGCGGCGCCCCTTCCTGGGGGCTGCTTCCACTCCACGATCAGCTAATCAGCAAATGTTTATATTAAAACACATATGCCCTTTTAAGTAGACACAAAATGCTCATTAAATTCTCCGAGTTAAATCATGAAACATCAAAGAGACTCTGGGCTTGGGGCATGTGACTTTGGGCTACATTCTGAGGTCTCATGAGGAGTAGAGGAGTTCTTTGCCCTTGCAGGTGCTTTCGAATGTCTGACGAGCCCCTGCACACACACACACTCCACAGGGAGTGGGTGTCACTAACTAGGAAAAGTGGCACTAGTGTGATGACACGGAGGTGTTCAAACATCCTCACGTACATCTCGCACGTGAGGCCAGCCCCTGCACAGGGCCAAGTGGGCTGGGCTGAAGCCCAAGTTTCCCAGAATGCTCCCTCCTTCATGCCCGGCAGCATCAAGCACAAATACTCTCTTCTGCTCTTGCCCTGAAAATGAGGGTACCCTGCGCTCCATCCCAGGTCAAGTCAGGTTACCGGGTGCTGCAAAGCGCCCTGCAGAGCAAAGCCAGTCTCAGAGCAGTGCAGGCCCTGAAGCACCCTAGACGGCACACCTTGCTTCTCGCCAAAAGCCGGCCACAGGAGCAATCAAATGAAAAACAGCATTGCTATTCTAGATGCTTCCCATGACGTTGTTGGATGTCCCTTAAAACTGTGTGGCTGGACGTGGGGTTCATGCCTGTAGTCCCAGAACTTTGGGAGGTTGAGGCAGGACAGGCATTTGAGACCAGCCTGGACAACATAATGAGACACTATGTCTACGAAAAAATTAAAAAACAAAAGCTGGGCATGGTGGTGTGTGCCTGGAGTCCTAGCTGCTTAGAAGGCTGAGGCAGGAGGATGGCTCGAGCCCAGGAGGTCCAGGCTGCAGTGAGCTATGATCATGCCACTACACTCCAGTCTGGGTAACAGAGTGAGATTCCATTTCTTAAAAAAGAGAGAGATTTGTGCCGTAAATTTCTCTCAACATGTGGTGTCTCTTTCAACAGGTCACCAGGAAGATGCAACTCATCATTTTCCTTTTTATCTTGTCTGCCAGGAGACTCCCAGCCAGCCGGTGTCACTCCCTGCTGTACTGCGAGGTCTAGTGCATTTCACCTTTGTCCTAACAATCCTGTACCTACATCTCTTGGTCCCCAGCTCCAGGTCCTCTTCAGAAGAGGCCAAATGGTAAATAATAAGCCAGTGAGTGTGTAATCTCAACCCTCTTAAAACTCTCCCCTCCCTTAGCTCCTGTGACTCCACAGACACCCAGTTCACTCTTCTGTCTCGACTGCAGACTCCTCCTTATCCCCAAGAGTCCCTGAACCCCTGGCGTCCTCAGGATTTCCTCCTTGCCCTTCTCTCTGCCTTCCACATCTGTTCTCTAGGCAACTTCATCCACTCCCAGATTTTTTATATCACTTACAAGTTGATGCCTCCCAAGCCTGCATCTCAGGCCTGAGCCCGTCCCGAGCTCCAGCCGCATATATCCATCCACAGGTGGACCCTTCACATGCCACATGCCCCCTGGATCTGCTCCTCCGTCAGATTGTTTATTTCAATTGGTGGGAACAGTCAGCAAATGCAGTGGATGTTACTCTGTAAACATTTTCAACTCTCCCTTTCCCTTCCAAACCAACTGCTACTGGCCTGCTCCAAGCCCTTGCTTTGGGAATAACCATATTGGCCATGTATCTGCGCTTCCTGAGACCTGTTTTGCTCCCTCCAATCCAACTCCATGCTCCCAGCAGACTGGCTGGCTAAAGGGAAAAGGGCCCATGTCACACCCCTGCTTAAAATTCTCCTTGGTTGCAGGATAAGTCCAGGATCCCGCTGCTCTCCACAGTCTGGGTCCTGCCTGTCACTCACCTCCATCTTCCCCACTCCTCCCAGGACCACACTCAACCACGGAGAGTTCCCCACTCAATGTCCTGTTTTGAGCCTCTGTGCCTTTGCTCAGGCTGTGTCATCCACCCGGGACACCCTTCTAGCCTCTCCTTCTGAGCCCCACCCGCCCCTCAAAACACAGCTCAGCCACTAGCTCTATCAAGAAGTTTCCCCAGGGTGAGTTAAGTGTCCTTTCTCTATTTCCCAGAGCCCCCATGTGCTCCTGTCCCCATCTCTATCTGTCTCTCTACAGATCTGCCTCTCCACGGCCTGAGAGCATGTGACTCACTCTGTGTCCCTTCTTTCTAGCACAGTCTGGCACTCCAGGCCCTGAGCAAGCAACAGACAGAGAAGCACCTGCTCTGGATGCTACTTGAACCCTGGTGGGCACCCTCGCAGCATCCTGGCCGGAGCCTCCGGCTCACCAAGAACTGGACGACATCCTCTGGCCTGTGCTTGGCCGACTTGAAGGCAGCCAGGCGGGTCACCACCAGGATCTGGTACTCCACGTGTCCGGACATCATCTTGCCCCGCACCTCCTGGTGCTGGGGCACAGTCAGGTCAAGGCCAGTGTGGGCATTCTGAAGTCGCCTGCCAGAGGAAAAGAAGGCAGGTGGGGTTCAGGGTCAAGGCAGCAGGTTTCCCGAGCAAAGTGCAGGCAGGGCCTCTGGGTGCCTGGAAGGCCTGGGTGCCAGGCGACTCTGCTGGCCATCCTCAGTAGTCACTGCTCCAGGCCACCCATCCTGCCACACCAGCCCCTCATAAGCCTGGCTTCCCTGGCCTCAGACCTGGTCCTGCCTTTGGGTTGCTCAGGGACAAAGATCTGCTCCCTGCAGGAAAACAGGGAAGGAGGGGGCTTGTTGAAAGGGATGGACACAAACTCTGCAGAGTGGGTGGGAGCAGCATCCCAGGGGCTCTACCAAAGGAAGGTGCCTGGGGCTGCAGGGACAGCATGGGATTGAAATCCCACCTGGAGAGATGAAGCTCTCTGTGGCTAATTAAAGGGCAGGAGGGGCCGGGCGCAGTGGCTCACGCCTGTAATCCCAGCACTTTGAGAGGCTGAGGTGGGTGGATCATGAAGTCAAGAGATCAAGACCATCCTGGCCACCATGGTGAAACGCTGTCTCTACTAAAAATACAAAAATTAGCTGGGCGTGATGGCAGGAGCCTGTAGTCCCAGCTACTTGGGAGGCTGAGGCAGGAGAATCGCTTGAACCCGGGAGGTGGAGGTTGCACTGCACCAAGATTGCGCCACTGTACTTCAGCCTGATGACAGAGCGAGACTCCGTCTCAAAAAAAAAAAAAGGAGGAGGGCTGCTATAGGCCCCCTGGGGGGGCGCACAGGATGGGCAATGGAGACAGGGCCCTTGTGACCCCCTGTGGCCCAGAGAGGCACAGACCAGCCCGTCCCTCATCTGGGCAGTCAATACTGCCCCTTGAGGTGTAGAGAGGATGCCTCAGCAAAACATCACCGCTCTTGGAGACCTTTAAAATGTGATTCGAATATACTGAACTGTATGGCAAGTAAAGAAGTGATGAGACATTTTCCGTGAAGCAGAAAGTTATTAAAAAAATCCCTCACCCTACATAAGGTGAGACACAGACCTGCATAGACTAACGTCCCTCACGCAAACGTCTCTGGCAGGACAGGCTGGGCACCCTCTGACCAGCTCTGACCATCGAGGTGTGACCTCCTGGGTACCAGGAAGGACCTTGAAAACACAGGAGGGGCTTCTGGAGCTTCACTTGTGCCTGGGCAAGGCCCCTCCCTCTTTGGCATTATACCCCAATCCATCAAATCCCCCTGCCCCATGCTTCTCCCACACAGACCCCTCACAACCCACGCTAGGCCACGCTGTCACCAGCACAGTGCTGCTGTCACCCAACGGTGAGGCCTACGGTGACGAGCCTCCTTGCCATGTGTGATACACAATGACTGCACACGCTGTATGCACAAGAAACGTCCTCCCGTGGTGTAAGGCAGCCCAGGCAACCTGCCTTCAGGTGGTGAAAAGTGCAGCCAGGGCCAAATGGGCACTGGGAGGTGGACACGCACAGCCAGCCCTCTCTCACCAGGAGCCACTGGCACCAAGTTCACATGGTGCACACTCGCAGCCTGGCATCGTCCACGGGGTCACTGTCACCAGTGCAGAGACTGGATGCTGAGGGGAGACGCGCTGGGCTCTGGGGACTGCACCTGTGCGAACTCACTTCCACCTCCTGGAAGCCTTGAGAAGGAACTCTGCTACTCAGACCCACTTAAAAGACAGCAAAACAGACCCTACAGGGAAAGTGCCTGCTCAGGTCTCACCAGCATGAGGTGGAGCTGAGTTCAGTCCCAGGCAGCTGCTCCAGAGCCCAGGTGGCCTCTTATGGGGAGGCATGAGAAAGAAGCCAGCCATCATTTCTTTGGGATCATGATGAAAACGAGGCACAGGTGGGTGAAAGTGACAAGAGAGGAGGTGCCAGAGATGGGGGAGGTCCTCTCAGGGTGGGAAGGGGATGGAGCAGACCCAGATGAGCACCTCCCACGAGCCAGCTCCCTCACAGCACCCCACATCCAACGGTTCTCTGACCACACTAGACCCACAATCCATAACCCCAGAGTCCCATTCCATTGCTGGAATCCCTCTGCCTCAGGCCCCAGCGCCCCTGACTCCTCACCCAGTGCTGAGCTGGCCTGGTCAAAGTCCACTCCTCCAGTTCTCTGCTTCCTTCACCCTGTGCCCAGGTGGCTCAGTGTGACTGGGGACATGGCGCAAACATGCAGCCTGCGTCTCACTGAAATTCACTGCTGCAGACTTGAAGTCACCGCACCACACTGCACCAGGCTTGGCAACCCTACTGTGTCCTAGCTGTGTGGTTCTCAAAGAGTGGTCCCTGGATCAGGATCAGCATCGCCTGGGACCTAGTAAGAAAGTCATGTTCGGGCCTGGGGTGGCTGGCCATCTTGTGTTCTTGGTGAGCCCTCCAGCAAGTCTGAGGCACCTGGGCTACTCCAGTCACCCTCCCACGTCCCTGAACCCCTAGGAAATCTTTTTTCATACAGGGCCAGATAGCAAATATTTCAGGCTGTGTAGGGTATCTGGTCTCTGCTGCAGCTGCTATGGAGAATACATATGCAAAGGGGGGTGTGGTGGGCAGGATTTGGCCCATACCTGTGCCCTAGACAAGCTTCTCCAACTGGAGTGTGAATGCGACACCCTGGGGATCTTGGTGATATGCAGATTCTGGTTCTGCAGGCCCGGGGTGGGCCTGGGAGTCTGCATCTCTAGTAAGTTCCCAGGTGATGCGGACACTGTTGTGTGCTGCTGGAGACCACCAGAGAATGTCCTCGGCCTCACTGTCACATCTGCCCATCAGCCAGCAGCTGCTCCCTGATAGCTGCCCTCTCCTGGGACTGTAGACAAACTGACTGGCTGCTCCTAACGCCAACCCTTCCACCAGGGCAGCGGCTCCAAGCCCCTCCCACGTACTCAGGGACACAGCTGTGGCAGCTCGCCCCTCCTTTCCGCAGCATCCAACTTCCTTCCTTACGGGCACGCAACCACGCTCTGACCGCTCATGTAACAAAAGCTGTGCTTTGACCTCACGTTCCCCTCGCTCCGTTTCCCTCCTGCCCTTTCCAGTAGAACTCCTCACCAGAGGGCCCCATATTCACGGGGTCCCCTCCTATTTGATCTTGAACTCATTCCAGCCAGACTTTGGTCCTCTTCATGCAAGCAACTGCCCACACCCAGGTCACCTGTGACTTCAGTGTTGTTAAATCCAAAAGTGAGTCCTCACGTCTCTGCCGGTGTGACTTGTCAGAAGCTGTAGGCACAGTCAGCCACTCCACTCCTTCAAGCTCCGCCTTCACCGCTGGTTGGGGCACCCTCTCCCTCTTGGTTCTTCTCCGCCCTCCCCAGACACTCTTGCTCAAGCAGGAGGAGAGGAACTGCTTTGGATGTTCCCCTTGATGGCAGAGTACTCCCCTTAGACCTCCTCCCTCTCACTGCACCCCTTCTCATCCAGGTGCAGGCCAATAGCGCCCCAACAACCATCTTTAGCCCCCTCTCCGCTCACAACCTCTCCTTCCAGCTGCCTGCCTGCCACCCCCACTGGGCTGTCAGCGAGCTTCTCAAAACTCACCTGTCTACATGAATGCTGCTCCCACCTCGCCCCAAGCCTGCTAAACGGCAGCCTCATTCTTCTAGCATCTTAGACTGAGAGACTTGCAGTTAGTCCTGATTTCTCTTTCTTGTTCTCACACCCTATATCCAAGCATCAGCAAAGCTGAAGGCTCAATCTTCAAAATATATCTGCAACCAAAACATATCTCGCCCTCTCAGCCGCCATCACCCAGGGCCAAGCCACCATCTACAGGGAATCCTACAAGCCTGTCCAGAATGCTCCGCTCAGCCACTGCCCCCATGCTCAACACAGTGGCCAAAGGATCGCTATAAACCAGAAGCTGGGTCTTATTGCACTTGAAATAAAATCTGATGGCCCCTCCACAGCCTTCGAGGCCTTTCCTGATATCCCTCACTCCCAAGCTTACCCCTTCACCACATCACCTAATACTCTTCCTCCCTACCCCGTTCCCTCCACTCCCTCCACTCCAGCCCTACCAGCCTCAGGACCCTGGCTCCGGCTGTACTGTTCTCCAAGAACACACATTTCCAAGATGGCTTTTTCACAGCTCTCTCCCTCAGGGAGTCTGTCGGGGTCTGCCTAGGGGCCACTCCATCAGAAAGATGACCCTTGACCACACCACAGAAAACAGCATGCACTCCGCCGACCACTCTATTGCCCATACTGTTCTTTCCTTCCTAGCATTTATCAGCCCTGACACATTATAGATTTGCCTGCTGTGAGTGTGCCCCCATTAAAGCTCTAAGAGAGGGACGTGTGTGGTTCAGCATGGTCTCCTAGAACCTGGACCAGTACCCGGTACAGAGAAGGCTCTCAATAAACACCTGCTGGCTGAATTCAAGCCTGAGTGCACGTGGCAATGACAGGCGGGAAGAGGCCAGGCTGGAAAGATGAGCTGGGGCACGACTGGGAAGGGCCAGCCTTGCTGCTGGGCTAAGGTGTTTGGACTCATCCTGCAGGCAAGATCCTTAGGTGTGCTGTTGCCCTCAGCAAGAAATGAGCACGACTCATGTGGCCTTACCACCGCCAACACCCCTTCGCCTGTTAACAAGCCACATCCAGGCTGGGCAGACGGGCAGGGAGCGAAGCCACCCACCCCTTCCCAAGCACCCAGCACCAAAATCACACCCCAACCATCTGCACGTGGCTGAGGGGCATATACCACCGACGCTGCTCATGCCTGCCAATCTCAGACCTCCGATTCGCAGAAGGAAAATGAGGCTCGGCAGGAGGAGGGGATGTAAGTGGCAGTAGGGAAACCTCTTCTGCCCATGAAGATACAAGCGTAATTGATCACGCAAGACCAAGCAGGCTCTGACATCAGGGTTTACAAAAAGAATCATATCTTTCTAGCCCTGAAGTCACAGGGAATCCCTGATTACAACTGTTCTACAGTTGACTAGGTAACACGTTCATTTATGCAATAAAGTGGCACCTTAGCCTAAGACTTTGTGTAGGGGGAGCAAGGGTGGAGAGTATGAAAATACTTGAAGTAAGTCACTTTACAGCGTTTCAAAGCGGGGAAGAAGTAGAAGCACATCCCTCCCAGTCTTGCCAGGATCCGTCTTAGGCTGGGTCCTCCAGGGCTGGATCAGGCCGACCCACTCTGCACCCTCCACCTAGACCCCTCCGAGGCCTTTGCTGTAACTCTTCTGAGCTACCTATGGAGCAGCGGCCACCTCTCCCTGGTCTCTCATCAAACTCATCCTCCCAGAAGCCGGGTTCCTGCCCTGCACTGTGTTCCCATGGCAACCCGAGCTTACTGCCGGCTGCTGGCATCACCCCCTCCCCACCGCAGCCCCTGCAGGGCAGGCCTGTCGGATTCTCCCCAGTCCCCAGTGCCCAGTGCCCAGTGCCCAGCACCGGGCCTGGGACTCAGGGAGCGCTGAAAGGATGGAGAGAACTGTATCTTAGGGCCCAAAAGAGAAGAATCCAAGGCGATAGGCAAGGAGAGCAGAGTGCCCACTGCGCCCGCCTGCACGGAACCAGTCAGCCCCAGACCTCCCGCTGTCCTTGGCGAGTTCTCTACCCTCTAGAGGGCCTCGGTTTTCTCATCTGTAAATCGGGAGCGCCACCTCTTCTGCAGGGCGGTGCAGGGGGCCCCGCCGGGATAAGCCACCGAGGGCGCTGGGGAGACCCGCCCCGGGTCCCGGGCCTCGGAGGCGGCGGCCTCCGCCTGCTCCTCCGCCCAGGCGCCCCGGACTGCGAGCTGCGCCGCGTGGGGCGCGGGGGTCGGGCTCACCTGGAGGTAACGAGCACCGCCGGGGACTGCATGACGGTGGCGGCGGCGACGGCTCCGGGCGAGGCGCACAGTCACGGGACCCGGCGTTGTCCGTGTCTCCGCGTCCGCGCCCCGCCTCCCGCCGCCCTGGCCCGCCCCCTGGCGGCCGCGCCGCGCAGTTCGCGCCGGTGGCCCGCGCCGGGGGCGGGAGCGCGCTGTGGCCGGGTTCTCCTGGCTCGCGGTCGGCCTCCGCTGCTCAGCGCTCCCGGAGTCCCGGGGCCGAGCTCCGCCCGCCGCAACTACCAATAGGAAGCCCAGCCTGGCCCTGGCACTCAGTGAACCTTAATCGGTGTGCCCGTGTTGCGCTAAGGTTTAGTCGCTAGAGGGAGGGGACTCTGCTGTTTCCGCAGCCTGTCCCGTTACAAAACCACTCCCCCTCTCCCCCACGGCCATTTCATTCATCCTATAAGTCAACAAATACTAAGTTGGAGCTCTACCCAGGCCTCGTGGGGTCTTGAAGCTGCACAGTGAACGCCACGCCGCAGCCCCAGCCTCCTGCTCTCAGGGTGCGCCCTTGAGCTTGCTGCCTCCAGCTAGCTCTCCTCTTTCCTTCCTGTTGCCGGCCTGCTCCATAACTGGCGGGCACTCTCCCGACAGAGGATCTTCATAGAGCCACCCCTGCTGCTTGACAGAGCCCTGGGTGGAGGCCTCCCGAGGCCGGGCCTGCCTGGGGGTGGCTGCACTTGGGTCCTCAGCTGGAGCAGGGAGTGGGGTCCAGGAGCCAGTTCCCCTCTGAAGAGGAACATACAGACATGCAGACCCTAACAGACCCTCTCAGTTTAGAGAAACAAAAAGATCATATCACCTGCCAACATAGCCCAGGGAAAAGAAAAGCTGAGTCTGCAAACGGGGCCGGGCTGGAAAAAGGTGCAAACTGCTGCCCTATTCTATTACTCTTTCCACCTACAGCCCCAGTGACAAAAAGCAACAGAAGCTGGGATTAACCAAACCAGAATTCATGGCAGGGCAATGTCAGCCACGTTTCCTGAGCCCACCAACCACTGCCAGCGGCATCACCAGTAATATCTACCTGTATTCACAGATTTTACTGAAGAAATCCTACGGTAAAAGATTTTGCAAAATGACTTTCCCCAATGTATTTTTAAAATAAATATGGACATTCATATGCCTTGTTATTTGTTTCAAATGTATTTATAGGCAGGAGGAGCAATCATGAATGAAGTAGGACAATGAATGAAAGTTCTGAGGCTGAACTTGAAGAGCTGGGATTATGGGGGAACCCTTGTCTGCTCTGCTGCTCATCCTCCTGTCCATCTGCAGGGCAGTGTTCATGGCTGCAAATGGTCCTCTGTGTTTTGTTGAAGTTGGCACGCCCCACTTTAGGGAAAGGGAGTTCAGGGTCTGGACAGAAAACAGTATAGGCTTCAGCATTTCAGGAGTCTGAGTATAGTGTCAGGCAGTCGAGCAGTCACCATTGCACTCACATTTATCAGCAGACAGAAACACAGTGAATAAGACACTTCAATGTCTTATTAGCTGCCTTCAATGGATTTCTTTGCCTTTATATGTGGGGAGTGGGTGGAAGTCAGGAAAGGCTTTTTAAAGGAACTGAAGTCTAAGGTAAAACCTGAAGAAATTTAGATAAACTAGGGTAGGAGGAATGTCACGTGCAAAGCCCTAGAGACACGATAGGAACACCAGGTAACAGGGGGACGAGGCCAGCAGGATCCAGGATGTGGACAGCCTGGTGCACCAAGGCCGGGACTTTGCCTGACTTGAGGCCAACAGAGCAGCATTGGAGGGTCAGGGGCATAGGAGTGGCTGGGCCAGCCAGGCCGTGGACAGGGGTTCGGAGCATGTGATGCTGAAGGTATGAAGATGAGCAGGACTGCAGAACAATCCAGACAGCACACAATAGTGCCATGAACTCAGTGATGGCTACGCAGGTGAAGAAGAGGGGACAGGTGTGAAGGCCTTAGGAGGAGTTGGTCAAGACTCGGGAATCCAATGGGTGTGGGCGGGAGGAGTTAAGAAGCTGCTCTGGTTTGCTCTTGTGAGTGGCTGGACATTGGTATCATTCTCTGTGGCAGGGCACCCGGAGCATAATTTTTGGTAGGATGACGGGTTCTGTTTTGGACAGGTAGTTTGAGGGCCTGGGTATACTGATGCGATTGGATCTATGGCCCTGGGCTTCAGGAAGCAGACCTGGGCTGGAGACTGGTGTCGGACTCCTGGTGGAAAGGAGGCTGCTGAGCCTGAGAGTTGGGGTGAGCCCATCAAGGAGGGTCTACAATACAGAGATATGCAGAGGTCGGGGGGAGCTGCAGAGAAGGGGACTCCCCATCATGGTGGAGCTGGCAGCATGTCTGTCACCAATGCCTTGTAAGCAAATGACAGGGCCTCACCCGTGCCCCTGGAGTTGCTAAGTGTGCATCTCAGGAACACTCAGCCCACCTGTCAAGGGTGCAACTGATTTCTCAAGAACGACCTTGTTCCCGACAGCAATCCCATTTTCTGTCTCTGTGGGTCCCACGTGCCCCTCTATGGCCCCAGAGCATAATTGTATACAATGCATGGAATGTGGGATCTAAATCTGATATTTTCTGCTTCCTGTTTGATTCAAGGAGCCCTGCCATGGCTGATGCTGCGGTAACACAAACCACCTTGCAAAGGATTTTCTGTTTCTCTTTTTCCCACTGCCCTGGGAGGAACACTCGCGGGGCCCTGAGAGACACCCGCAGCCTGCAGGGGGCGCTCTGAGCTCTGGCCGTGCCCCGAACCAGCATTTCCCATGGTAGCGCGGATCTTCAGGGATCTTCTAATTTGTCTCTGCCCCCTAATGTGATACTCGAGAGCTCCAGGGTCTGGGCACCTCCACATGGAGCAGGGCCACCATCTTGCTTGTCACTCAGCAAACACTCATGGGCACAGCTCCAGGTCTGTTACCTCCCCAGGCCTAGGGGCTGCAGAACCTTATCCTGTGGGGCTCATAGAACAGTACAGGGGCTCACAGACCACTCTAGGACAGTTGGAGATTTTAACAAGTTTGCACACCTAGGGCGCTATGGGTGCTATGGGTGCAGAGAGGAGGACACATAACTAACTCAGTCTGGGGTTGGGCATAGAGAGAGTTCTACCAGGAGGAGATGATGGAGAAGATGATGGCAGACCTGGGTAATAAAAAGTAGGTATTATCTTTTTGAGACTTGATTTTCTCACTGGTGAAATGGACATGACAGAAACCTTTAAATCACAACATTGCTTTGAATTACAAGGTAAAATGAGACCGAAACAAGATGCAACATGTGGCAGGCATTGGAGATGAGCTCATCAGAAGTCGTTCACAACCCCCCTCTTCCTGGTTTTCATTACCATAGAGGCTGGAGAAGTAAAACACACACGTCCCCTGTCAGTGAGAAGGGGCCATGTGACATAATTCTGACCATATCTACATAAGTCCATGTGGAGGATTTCTCTTGCTAGGAGAAAACTCTTTGCCCCTCCCTTCCTTGTCTTCTACCTAGAAAGAGGATACAGTGCTAGAGACACAACAGCCATCATGCGAGCGGGAGGCACAGACGTGAGTTTGGAACCTACCATGCTAGGGAGGAACGAGCCTGGGGAGCTGATGGCATATGAACTTGCGCACCAACCCTGGGCTTTTCTACAAAGTTCTCCTTGCACAAGTGTCTAACCCACCCTAAGTGGGCTTTCTGCAGTGAATTTCTGTTGGTATAGTTGTAAAGTACTTACATAACACCTGACAAAAAAGCTGCTCCATCGGAGATGCTGGAATGATTGAGGACGAGGAAGAGAAGAGGTAAAGTGTGTACCAGGTAGCACACTCAAAGGCAGTGTCTCTTTTTCTTTTTCTTTTTTTTTGAGACAGGGTCTCACTCTGTCGCAGTGGCACGATCATGGCTCACTGTAGCCTCAACCTCCTTGGGCTCAGCTGATCCTCCTACCTCACCCTCCCGAGTAGCTTGGACCACAGGCATGTGCCACCATGTCCAGCTAATTTTTGTGTTTTTTGTAGAGACAGGGTTTCCCTACATTGCCTAGACTGGCCTTGAACTCCTGGGCTCAAGCAATCTTCCCGCTTTGGCCTCCCAAAGAGCTGGGATTACAGACGTGAGCCACCGTGCTTAGCCTCGCATGTCTTGATAGAACCACAGCATATTTGAGGAGCTGGTGAGAAGAACATGAGGAGAAATTGTGGCGGAGGAGGCAGCAGAGGCTGGGAGGAGTGCAGCATAGAGGGCCTTGTGTGCTATGCAAAGGAGCTCACCTCTTATCCTGAAGAAGGAGGGAGTGGGCTCACAGAATAAAGGGAAAAGAATATTTCAGGAAGAAACTGGGGTGTTTTCAGCAATGCCAAACACTGGTGAACATCCAGGAAGATAAGGAGGTGTTCAAGAAAAAAAAAAACAAAAACAGAACTGAACAGTAATTAAAGTGGTAAAAGCAGATTTTATTTGGGACTGATTTTATTTATAGGGGCAAGAGACCTCAGTATAGAACTTGGCTAAATTCCGCATGCAGTATGGGAAAGTGGGAATTTATAGCCAAGGAACAGAGTGGGAACAGCCACTGGAACATTCCTAAGAGGATATGGGGGACTCTGGCTATGCCGACCTAACAGCATTCTTGCTGAAGATGAGCCAAGGATGGTAGTGGAGGAGGAACCCAGTTGGATATTGAAGGTGATCAGACAGGCAGGGTGGGAGGTTGTTGGTAACCTGACTTGGCTGGGTTCTTCCTAAAACTGGATTTTACAAGGAAGTGCATGCATAGGTCTAAGAGAAGCTTCAGGTGCTTGAACCTTGGTTTGGTCAAGAAGAGAATCTTTGTCAGAGAGAAAAGTCTTCTCTGACCTCGAGGAGGGCAGGGTCCCAGTGAGCTGAGGAGGGGACAGGAGGTGGGAAGGGGAGAAAGGAGTGGGGCCCCCTCTTCCAGAAGCTGGATTCTGAGGCAGAGGGGGGCAAGCAGGTGATTTTTAGAAAGCATTCTATAGAAATAATTCATGTGCATGGTAGAAAATTTGAAAAATAGGGATAGTAAGATAAAAAAATAAAAATCACCTCTTATTCTATACCAGATACAACGATTGTACTAATTTTCGTTCCTTCTCTCCTGATATTTTTTTCTATGCCTATATACATAAGTCTCTTCTTTTAATAATACAGACTCGTAATGGATGTACTATTTTGTAACTTGCTTTTTCACTTACCATCGTGTAAATACCTCTCCATATAAAATTACCTCCAAAATCTTAATTTTCAATGCTCCTTAGAATACCATGTGCAAATGTAGAATAATCGACTTCTGCAGTGCTTGAGCTCCCAGCCTGTGA